ATTTGAGCTTTATACAGTACAACACCGGAAACCCACCTTTGTGACCCTTCCTTGATGACAGTGTCTGTATTTGGGGATAGATTAACGTTTGAATTAAGTTTAATAAACACCTATTAATTTGACCTTTTTAAACTTGTTTGAATGTAGGCAATACATCCTCAACTCCACAGTGATGTAACTGTTATATGTGTGAAACAGATGTTTAAATAGAAGGCGCAAGTGTCATTGGGGTGATCACTGTTGTATCTCGTGTTACTGTGGTATCTTGCATTAACCTCTTTTCAACTAAGTTTAGTAACCTCGTGTTACTATTGTATCTTGCACTAAAAGGGTAGAAAGTGAAGTCACTTGCTTTGACGACTATGGTCATAAGAAGAGAGTCGAGTTCCTCTATCTCTTGCTCGTGTGCCCTTTATCTGTCTCATAGACACAATCCTAAACAACTGCATTCCTCTTTAATTTACCAAAATAGTTATTAGCAAAGAGGAAGATAAGTTACAACAAACCGACGACAAAACGATTCAAATAACAAAGGAAACACTAAACAATTTATTCGAACTTAAGATAAGATAAATCCTCTGCAGCATCAGTTGTGTGGCATTGGACTTGGCCACTCTAAAACCTTGGAAGTTAAGAAGTGCGTGCGTGACTTCTTTCTGGTGTGGCCTTCCTCCTCAACACTTCTGGTCTTCTATTAAATAAAGATTAACTATATAAATGTATGAGAATGTTTATACCCGAACTCAAGTTCCAGTTCCAACACAGCTTTCTTTATCTATCCATCAGCGATAATGAGAAGAACATGGTACTGGGTCCACTTTCTTCCACAATCGTCATGGCTCTTTCGATGTTGGGTGCAAAAAATATCGGACCTGTTACAAAACCAGTAAAAATAAAATAAAAAGTAGAGAAAGTGCATGAACACAGACAATAGAAATCAAACTGCAAGGTGTAGCTGGGGAAGTCTGAAACAGATGAGAACTTCTTTAAACCCGTTACAAAATATGTATTAGTGAAATTTAAACTAAAGCATCTTAATCATCTGTTGTAGCTGCAAAGTCAAAACCAAAGAAACTAACCACTCTGTAAGCACATACCAAGTAACAAACTTTTAAATGATAAAAGATCAGATCAAGTCTTTCCAATGATAGAAGTAGCTTGCTGATAAGGGTTTGGAGTTGTTCCATGCAGGTTCTTCCTATCAAATGATTTCGCCCCTAAATTAAATCACCAGTCAGCTTTCAGATCAGAGCAGCATTTACTTAAAATCTGAACTTAAGGATTGGCTATACATGATCATAACATGTTTAGCATGTCGACTTGTTGCTCTTGGTGACATCAATACCAACAATCAGACTTGAGGACTCCAAACCACCATGTGAAAGAGCAGAAGTAACTTGCCAAGGAAAAGAAAATCAAACAAAACACCAATTGACATTAACTCACACAAACTAAGAAAAATAAGTTTTTGTGATTCAAACCTCATAGATGGAGCGTTAGTTATCCATAATTCGTGAATAGTTGCTCTCAAGATTCTTCTGAGTTTGCCATTGAGGATTAAATAGGAGGGTGGAGGACTTGCAGATTGATTACTTGGTGTGTGATAGGAGTTGTTCTGGTCTACATATTTTCCCCTAAGAAGAAGCAAATGAGATACTTAGAAGAATTTCACTTCTACTATTGTCTCCTATAAACGAAAGCTTTTGAATAATTTTGATAACCAATAGATGGTCAAACATAAACAAAATCAACAAACAAACTATAAATCGAAATCAATCTCCCATGAATGAAAATATATCGGATACCTTCATGTCCGGTTACGTATGAAGAGGCTGGGGTTCTATAGAGTGGGGACGATTCGGATGAAGGATGTGTCCTAATGGGAAACAACTTCTTCCATACCCCCACACCTCATCGTGTAATCTTCCAAGCCCCCTTTTAAAACAAAGACATTTACATGGTTTATGAAAGCGTACTTTCTCAAGATGTGACTGCAAGACGACACAATTGTTTTTTTCCCAGAAGTTAGAAACAGTTACATTAAATATCAATGCAGGTAGTCAAACCAATATCAAAACACAAAAAGAATAGACTTGTTAAATACTACTGACCTCTCCTATCTCAGCTTTTCCTTTTTGTTTAGCCTTTATTCTCCCCCACCATTTGATTCAACATTGTATCGTATTGTGGGTCTCGTCCTTCTAAAACATTATCATCGTTCGTTTTTTTTTTCTGAGCTTCTTATTCTAATATGAATACATGGCCAAGATTCATGATTGAATCATATTTCGTTAAGAAGGTGAAAACTTTCGATCACCCAAAAGCTGAGATAAATAAATTAAAGTTTTTTTTTCATTACCAGAAACACCATTAACAGCTGTGGTAGACAGTGATTTGGCGGCGGTGAGCTCTTCCTTTGGAAGCAATATACGATCGGCGGTGATCCTTGATGGAAATCTCTCTGAGGATATGATTTCCCCAACGGCTCGACGCAGTTGCTGAGGATATGAAAGACCAACTCTGCTGAGGATAGTGGAAGCAACTACTGTTGCTTTCTTCATATTAGGTTTCAAGGAGGACTAAGTTAGGTATTTTGAAACCTTGGTAGATAGGACACAAATAAACAACGTGATACTAATATTTAGTAGAGATGAAGGTGAAAGAAAAAAGAAGCCAAAGGAGATACCTTGATCATGGGTTTGCCGGTGATTTGCATGTGCGCTTGCTAATAAATCGAGAGGAAGTGGTTATTCTAATGACTGGATCCGGAATATTGGTTCGAGCTCTTGCGCTAGTCGACGCTGCAGTCGCCGTTCCCGTTCCGGCATAATCTTCGGTGAGATTGTCTTTTTTTTTGACAAATCTCGGGTGAGATTGTCGGCTGAGAGAGAGAGAAATAAAAGTTTATCAGTTTGAAATTCGCGTAGTAAATCAATCGGGGAATTCATGGTCGATTTCGCTAGAGCCTTGGTGGTGGATTTCGTTGGAGCATTGGAGCTGCAAAAAGCCTTTTTGTTATCCATAGAAGCTATAACATTGATGAGATTTGGGATTTGTGGGAGTATATATATATAGGTGGAGGTTGAGGGGATATGAAAAGTTTGAGTAGCTTTGATGTTCTATTAATAATGGAAGAATACGTTTTACGGTAAATTTTATTTTTGAGGATGAAGGAGATGGAAACGGAAGAAATATCGAGGTTGAAGGAGAAAGGAAGGATATTGACGTGGCAATAAAAAGCTTTATCATTGGTTGATTTTAAAGTCTCTTCTTCGCCGCAAAGGTTAGGTGATGGTGTCATTGGTGTGCTGCTCATATGGGCCAATTTGCAAGAGAACTAATCTCGACTCGAAGAAACAAAAAACTGAGCCCACTCGAGAGTAATGCCCTTGCTGAGTTGGACGAAAATACAGATCCTATTGGAGGAATATAAATTCCAACGTGGCTTAAGGAGGGGGAAGTATATGCTCTTTTTAATATAGTTAGATTACGATGACCAAATGAAAGCAATAACAAATAAAGCCGGTCTTGTGATTTCAATAAGAAAATTTAATGGATTACACCAATGACCATAGTGGAGAAATTAATCTAGATCTAATATGAGTTACCTAAGAATTGGTCTATTAAATGTAAGAATTATTTCTATTAATGTAATATTACTCTCATAATGTCATCTTATAGTATTCTACTTCTTATTGAGATTGTTAACCTTAAACATACTTGGTAACCAATAAAATAAGATATAAAAGAGTTTACTTTATAATGTTGTTACTAAATTATAGTGACAAATGTTTTAGAAGAGGAGAGTGATTTGAAGGACAAGTCTCATAAAAAATGCATAAATTAAAGAATAAGTTCAATGTATGACTATGAACTAATGTTTTAGAAGATATCACACTTGTCTAATTAGCCACCTTAAGTAAACATTTGTCATTACTCAATTTTGAAGGTCGGTTAAAATTAAAGGATGAAACTTAACAAGCAAAAAAACTTGTTGAACAAATAATCAAAACTCGTTGAGGAAGTAAAACTCTCCCTGCTAACAAATAGATGTTTTGCTGCATCCTAAATGCATCACAATCTGAATACAAACACATATAATGAGAGGTTTGTAGGCAAGGGGAGTGAAGTTTTCACTCCAACTTAAAGTTTAAGATCTTCCAATATTCACAAAACTGTTTAAGAAGATTTTTGCAACAATGAATGGAAGTAAATTGCTAACCTCTTTATAATTCTGTTATGTGATTAGCTAGATGTTTCTTAGGAATCCTGTAAATTATGTTTACACTTTTCTCTGCGATGGTTCGTTGTTATGCACCACCAAGAACAATAGACCCACGGTAGAAACGGTTTTCGGGTATCTAAGTCAAAAAATATTTGCAGAAAGAACAAAATCTACCATAGATAGTTACCATAATAACTACAAAGTGGCCTTGTGTAGTTTTGGTTTGCTTAATTGAGTTTGTTTTTAATCAACTATTCATCTGATCATTGATGATAGTCAATCTGAGAACCTTTGTTTAGAAAGTGGCACTTTTTATTTGATGATTCTGAATCAGTAAGCAGCACGGTGGGCCGGATGTTGGGCAGTGTTCTTGAATATCCTTAGTGTACTTACAAGATTTTCTATCATTGAAGATAAGGCAACGACGTTATGGCAACTGCTCAGGTCGGTTTGTTCATGAAACTCAACAGTTTTTTAACCAATGTTTTGTTAAAATTCATGATGTCTTGAATATAATGATGCATTCTGTTATTAGATCTGATAGTATTTCCATGTTAGGTGTGATCTCAGCTTGTTCACAAGAGAGGGACATCATCTGCAGAAAGAGGTTGCATGGCTAAATACTAATGAACCGTCTCCTTGTCTCTGTTTATGATGTACACTTCATTGTTCTTTGCGTTATCCAGTTTTGGCCTTTTCGTATTGTTTTGAGCTTGTCATTTAACCAAAGATTAATGATCCTTGACATGCTAATTAAACTGAGGAGCTTTGACTAGGAAGTAAAAACCTTTTAATGTTTTGAGAATACTGAATCAGTAAGCCATGTTAAAATTGTTTCACAAGATCAAAATCCTTTCTATATAATAGATCTGATCAAAACCCAAATAACCAGTTTCCTGATACACAATTCCTCTTTTCATTTTCGGACCGCCAGAGATTGCAAATCAGCTAGGAAGTCTTCAAGACACAAGTCATCAGTGAGAACGACATCTGAACCACCGGTATAATCTGTTTTCTGAGTAACCGAAGGATTGAGTTTAGCAAGAAGAAACCGAGCTTGGCTACCATGCTGGTCACACCTCACTATCCTCGGCATTGGTATCCGATCACTCACCAGCTGCACCACATCCATCTCTGGTGCTTCCAAAAGATTCCTGAAAGTCTCGTGGTTGGAGTCTTTGTGATACTCTTGTTTCCTCCACTGCGCTATTTTCAAACCGTGGTGGATCACAACGTAGAAGTAAGAATCGAACAGCAGAATCGCGTCTGGTGTCACTGATCTGATATCGAGAAGGACAGGAACCGGTGGTCCGTCGAATGAATACCGGAGAAGCGTTGGTTGAATCATGATGATTGAGTTAACCACTCCTTCTCGGTTTAGCATTAACCGGAAGAAACCAGTTTCGTCCGGGGAGTTGTTGAAGACGTCAAGAAACTGTGATCTTCTTAGGTAGAACATGAACTGCGGGTAAAGCGAGAAGTTTGGAGTCAGCCTAAAAGAAGATGGATCTTCTTGGATGTAATCTCCAAACCGTGAAGCGAACCGGATCAAACCATCATCTAACCATCTAATAACATCTCTAGCGTAACACTCTTCCGCTCGGTTTATAGCAAGCCTAGCCATTACAGAAGCAGCTGTTTCTTGATCAAAACCGGATGAGATCTCCGGTGATTTTCCAGCCACCCATCTTCTAGCAACCGTTGTAACCCTTTTCCTCACTCCTCCATTGCCATACCGATATCGAGTAATGAACTGAATAAAGAACGCTGAACCTGGTTTTGGTTTCCGGTTCTGTTCGTTGCTCACTTGAAAGAAGAAGGAAACACATGTCTTATTAGTAGCAGTGCTCGTTTTCCATGTATATGTTCCACCTTCACCGATCTCCGTGTCACTCACTATATCATTCTTCCTTCTAAGCGACACAACCGGACCAAGCGCCCCGCAAATTTTGATATCTTTAGTGGTCACAACTTCTAAAGTAACGTCAAAGCACATATTCAAGTTCCCATCTGCGTCGCGGCGGAATATATGTCTTAGACATTTTTTGAATTGCTCAGACTCAAATGTCTCTCCAAGTAAGAGAAACCCACCAGACATTTCCACCGCATACCTCAGTTCCGCTGCTCCAACCTGGTCAAGAGAGCAAGCGAACAAATCGAGAGCAGCAGAGGAATCACAAAGCCTCTTTGCTATTCCTTTGTAGAACTTGCATGATCTATTATAGTGACGCACTTGACCAGTTATAATATCTCTGTGGGTTCTGATTGAATGGTTTAGATCCGAGTCCACGACAATCCCTGGGCCTCTTGTTGCAGGCCCTGACGTGAAAACCATAATCCGAGCGCCTGTGGTTACAGAACACCCTTCGAGGAGTCCTAATGCTATCGAGATCGCAGTACCGGTTGATCTATGAGGGCGATGACCTGGTTTCACATCAACCAATGGAACGATTTCTTCAAAAGCAGATGTTAAGTTGAACTCACACTCCGCCAATGGAAGCAAGAAACTCTGCTTCCGAATCCCTGACATCTTTCCATGATGAAACTGCTTTGAATACCCAAGCCCCAGAAATTGTTGTATCTAATGAAAAGAAATAACATTTTGTCAATTTCAACACTGCTAAAGAAGCAACAATCAATCAACTGAACACACAAGAAGACAGAAGATTTCGAGCTCAAGAACAAGAACAAGATGCCTACAAATACTACTTGTTTCCACACAGAGAGAGAGCTTCAAATCACACCAGCAAACAATTACTTATCAAAATTCAACACACTTTCTAATCATCAAAAGAACACAATCATGCCAAATTCATCACAGAAGGAAACACTGCTAAAGAAGCAACAATCAATCAAATATAAACACAAGAAGAAAGTATATTTCGAGCTCAATAACAACAACTACAAGGTATCTAGAAGGAGCACTTGTTACAAACAGAGAGAGCTTCAAAATCACATCAGCAAAGAACTACTAATCAACAACGCAACACACTTGTAACCATCAAGACAAAAACACAATCATCTCAAAACAAAGGAACTGATTCAATGATCTTCATCCTTCTATTGTATCTAACACAATTGTGCAAGAACAAAGCTTCAAATAAGAGTCCCAAACTATTATACTTTTATAAAACAGTACCTATCAACTAGTATATACTTGTTGGAGCTTCAAAATCAAATTAGCAAACAATTACTTATCAACAACTCAACACACTTCTAACCATCAAGACAAGAACACAAATTATCTCAAAACAAAGGAACCGATTCAACAATCATTCATCCTCCTATTGTATCTAACACAATCGTGCAAGCAAGAACAAAAGCTTCATCTCCAAAAAAGAGTCCCTTACCTGGTCAGGAGGAAGCTCACGTTCGCCATGAAAAACAACAACCTTAGAACACTCGGAAAACCCCAAATCAAAAACCCTAACCATAGAATCAAAAGTAATCAACCCAACCAACGAACCCTCCGGCAACTGCTCAACCACAAGCAAAACCTCACTCCTCAAAGCCCTCAACTCCTCCTCCCCCATACACACATCCACCACAAACACAAACGCCCCCGACCCCACCCCTTGTCCCCCCACTCCACCATTCGAATACTCCACCGCGCTGTACGTGGGGAAAAGCTCCGCGGGGAGATTGGTCTCCGTGATCCCCGCGTAAGATCGCGGGAAAGGGTTTTTGTGGAAGCAGAAGGGACACGACCAGATTCGGGACTTGTAATCGACGCGAGCGTAAGGGTTCAGCACCGCGGCGCAACGGGAACAGATGAGGGGGTCGTAAGGGATGGTGGGGAGGTCGGAGAAGGACATGAGGGGAGTGTACATGATGCTTAGTGGGACCACGAGGGACTCGGAGTCGGATTTTGTGGTTGGCCATGAGTTCCATGACCAGCGTAAACCCTCGATCGCTTCTAGCTCTAGGAAATCCATTTTTGAGATCTAGCGAGAGTTGAGGATCGGATCCGGTTGTTTACCGGAGTTTCTAGAAGATTTATGTGGCCGGTAAGGAATCAATCAAAGACATCCAATCACCCTTGGAGTTTACGCTTTCAGAGGACTGTGTCTTTCTTTCTTTCATAAAGGTTGAATTATAGTATTTTTTTTATTCAACAAAAAAATACATAACATTAAGCTTTTTGAAAATCAGTATCAGCGCTGTGAGTTATGCTACTGTTTCGGCCCAGAAAATTTTAAATAGTGCAAATCTTTTAATTAACAGGACATATAAAAAAGTAAATGCAAAAAATAGCATTCACTAAATTTTAGTGATTGTAGTAGAATAGATTTTATAAGATGATGCAATCGAGGATTTAACCGATGTTAAAATTAAATCAGTGTTAAAATATGTTTGACACTTTGGATATTCGGGTTGGGTTTGAATAGGATCCAATCGGATTCGAATAGGATCAGATGAGATCTGGATCTATCATATATATGAATTCTATATCTAATAGTTACTTAGTAGATTTTCGAATGGATTTCCAATAAAATAGTCACATGGTATCCATCTATGTTATCCAAACCATTTCAAGTTTAAGTAACATAGTAGCTTTCTTGATCTACTAAGGCCTCGATTGGTACATCAGATGATAAAGCAGAAGCAGTATGCTACAGAAGCTGTATGCTATAGAAGCTGTATGCTTTCATTAAAGTTTTTAATAAAGTGATTGGTAGAGCATTAGCAGTATACGCTTTTAAAATTGTCATAATAGTTAGTAAAATAATATATTTCTTTTAAAATAATATATATAATATATATTAATAATATATAATTTTATTAAAATAATGAATTTTCAGTAGTTAATTATATTTAAAAATTTAGTTTTTTTAAAAAAAAATATTAAATTATTTTTGGATATAACATATTACTCATATATAAAATTATAGCTATAATTTAATAAATTTTTATTAAATTATAATTATTATTAAATAAATAAATTAATTAACTATATTTTATATATAAATTAATTATAATTTATATATAAATTATTATTATTTATTTATTGGTAAAGCTCTAAATTACTCATATATAAAATTATCCTAAAAGTTAATATATAATTTATTTATTAGTGTCTAAATAATATGTTTATATCGATAATATATAAATAATATTATGTTATGATTGTTATTAAAAATAATGATATGTAATTATATAAATTATATTATATTTTAAATGTGAAATATTTTTCTTTTTAAAAAAAATAATTTTAATTTTAATTTTATTTTTTAAAATAGAAATATATTTAATTATAAAAATAGTGTTTATATTTTTAAACAAAAATAAATTAATTATATATAAATATTATTAAGTTTTATATTTTCTATATGCAAATGCTCTCCCAAAAGCTCTATATGAGAGCATTGAGTAAGGGGTTGATTGGTAGAGCATTAGCATAAGCATTATGCTCTCTATTATCCAATCAACATTTGGCAAAGAAGCATTTAGAAAAGCATTTACCAAATGCAAATGCTCTCCAAATGCTCTTTTCTCAATGCTCTCATATAGAGCTTTTGAGAGAGCATTTGCATATAGAAAATATAAAACTTAATAATATTTATATATAATTAATTTATTTTTGTTTAAAAATATAAACAAGATTTTTATAATTAAATATAAATTTTTATTTTAAAAAAATAAAAATAAAAATTATAATTAATTATTTGTAAAAGAACAGTATTTCACATTTAAAATATAATATAATTTATATAATTACATATATCATTCATTATTTTTAATAACAAACATAACATAATATAATTTATATATTATCGATATAAACATATTATTTAGACACTAATAAATAAATTATATATTAACTTTTATGATAATTTTATATATGAGTAATTTCGTGCTCTGCCAATAAATAAATAATAATAATTTATATATAGATTATAATTAATTAATTTATTTATTTAATAATTATTATAATTTAATAATAATTAATTAAATTATAACTATAATTTTATATATGAGGAATATGTTATATCCAAAAAAATTAATATTTTTTAAAAAAATAAATTTTTAAATATAATTTACATAATGAAAATTAATTATTCTTAATAAAATTATATATTATTAATATATATATTATATATATATATTATTTTAAAACAAATATATTATTTTACTAACTATTATGACAATTTTAAAATTGTATACTGCTAATGCTCTGCCAATCATTTTATTGAAAAATTTAATGAAAGCATACAGCTTCTGTAGCATACTGCTTCTGCATCATGCTACTGCTTTATTATCTGTTATACCAATCGAGGCCTAAATAGCATTTGGAGAGCATTTGCATTTGGTAAATGCTTTTCTAAATGCTTCTTTGCCAAATGTTGATTGGATAATAGAGAGCATAATGTTTATGGTAATGCTCTGCCAATCAATGTAACATAGTAGCTTCGAAAGATTTCTGGTTATCCAAACCATTAACACAGTAGCTTTCGTGGTAGAACAAAAAAAAAATATTTCTTTTACATATCGGTAAATGAGCTTTACTGACCAAGCCCAATAAGTTATAATTGGGCCTTTTAAGGAGAAGATTTCCCCTTCACCGAAGACGGCGAGAAAGAGCAGAGGAGAAACCGAGGACCAGACGCCGGAAAAGGAACGATGCTGGGACTCTCTTACGGTGAGATTCTAGTCATCATCGGCGCAACAGCTGCTGTTGTAGGTTCGTCTCTTGTAAAATTGTCTTCAATCTTCATCGTCAATCAAATCATGAAATAGAGATAATGATTCGAATTTTTGCAGGGCCAAAGGATCTTCCGATAATCGCAAGAGCAGGAGGAAGATTATTCGGACGAGCGATTGGTTACATACAAATGGCTCGTGGTCACATAGACGGTGTCATGAAACAACCTCAAATGCAGCAGGTTCCTTCCTTCTTTTTCAATTCAACAATTACTCTTTGTTGTGATCTTTACTTACTTACTCTCAGTATATAACTTGTTTAGATTTCGAAAGAAGTTCAAGATTTGCGAGCACAAGTTGATGCTATTAGCCATGGCGCAAGTTTCTCTCTCTTTAATTCCAATCCTTTGACTCGTAGAGTTGACAACAACCAATCTCCAGAATCTTCTAATACAACCACCAATGGTATTAAACACAACAACTAGCTTGTTTTGTTCTGCTTGTTCCTTTAACTGGTTCTGTCTTTTTTAGGGAATGTTAATTCTGTTAATGTTGAGGAAAGACCCAAGGTTGCAGATCATTGGACAAAGGTATTCTCTTTTTTTATGATCCATTTGTCTTTTCTTTTATTTATGTAACGCTACTTTTTAAAGGCTCAAGAGTTTAGTGGTTCGTCGTCATCGGCTTCAGTTAATCTTCACGCCCAAGCAACAGCTTTTGAACGTTTATCTGAGTCTGTTAGTAGCAAAACTCACACTCTAAGTAGTGATTCACCTGTTCTTCCAGTTTCTGCTGAGATGGCAAAGTTGCTCCCTCATCGCAAAGGTAAAGAGATTTCTTGACTCTTCATTAGGTTTGAGTAAACAAAAAAAAGGCTTGATACTTTGATCCTAAATTCATTTGGTTGTAGAAAGTGCGAAAGGATCTGATTTAATGCTGGAGGCAGTTCTTGAAGCTGAAGTAGCACACAAAGCCAAACACTTTTTTGCACAAGCCGAAAAGGAAACTCCAGCTTTAAAAGGTGAACCAAAATCTCTTCAAACCAAAGAACCTACGTTTTTAAACTCAAATTACATACTATCATAATTTAAACGTGCTTTAGAGGCTAAGATACTCATTGTGTAACCCTTTTTAATCTTGTGACTGTTGCAGGGAAGTTTGTTGTTGACGATAAAGGCGAAAGTTGAAGTTAAAAGCTTTATGGATCATCGATTAACAAGTCACAAGGCACCGGCATGATCTTGGTTCGTACTTGTAGCGTGAGAATAGTGGCCCATGTCGTTCGAGTAGGCATTTATACTAACTGGGGCAGAGTCTGAATTCTGTTTCTGCTCCGGCAACAAGTGAGCTAAACCTGGCCGAGATTAGTTCAGTAATTGATCTTGTAATTTTGTTGAACGATCTTGATTCCTGTAATTTATTCTGCGGCTTTGTAGGTTTGTAGGAATATGAATAAATGTGTGTTTTTAGTTCTCAACCGGTTATGTTTTAACTTCTACTTACAAGCTTAAAAAGGGGGGATTTTCTATTTCCGTTGGTATGGTGCAAAAGTATTCTTTGATTTGAGTATTTTCTCTTGTAAACACAAAAACGAGTATTGAATGGATACATAGTGTATATTGTATAATAGTTGTTGTAGTGTATATATAGAGTTCGATTGTATATTGTATAAATTTTTGTTCACATTTTCCCTCACTTTCTCTTTGACTGAGCTTGGAATCTTTTGATTATTTGCTATTCCAATGCTGGATTGATGAGTTCTTCAATTCATTATACGTTCGTTGAGCTTGTTTTAAATGAGTTCTTCGTTGATGTCTTGATTCTTTCGATCATCGATACTCTTCTTCTTTGAGCTTTTGGATCTTCATCTAATCAGTTGTGCTTGCTTAAACAATGGCTACAACTATTTAACAGCATTTTGTTCGTCACTTTCTGGATCAATATGATAATTCATATTACCTTCACAACTCCAATAATGCTGGATTAGTCTTGGTCCCCGATCATCTTAACTCTAGAGCTGACTTCCATTCTTAGTGTTGGATGGCTCTCAATGTACAAAACAAACTTTTTTCGCTGATAGTACGATTTTTAAACCACATGTAGCTCATCTTGATTATGAACCATGGTCTCGATGCAATGATACGGTATCAACATGGTAAGATTTCTAAACCACATGCAATGATAGGCCATAGCTTACTTTTTATGTCTACGGCTCATACAATTTGGACGAATTTCCCTTCTCATTTTAAATAAAATGATTTTCTCGCATTTATGAGATTGAACAAAGGTTTAGATTTGAATGCAACGTAGCAACTCTATGAGAACAATTCAACAATGTAGTGAGTAACTAAGTTTCTTATGGGATTGAATGAAAGTTATGAGTCTTTTAGGCGTCATATTCTTATGTTGAAACCGGTTCCTTCTACTGAAGAATTGTTCAACATGATTGTGCAAGATGAAAGGCACAAGACAATTAAGTCATCTAAGGTTGATACACCGGTTTTCAAATCTCAGTTTCTGAGTTAGCTCCTAGTCATGGGACAAACAATCAAGTTTATGTTGCTGCTCATCCTGGTTATCGTCCTCACCAAAGGACTATCTGTACTCATTGTGGGTAAGCAGGACATTATGCTTAAGTGATTTAAGTTCTACAACAATGGATATTAATCTCCAGAGTCTTTTGTTCCTCTTCCTCATATCTGTTGATTATAATGGGAGAAAAATTAGGAAAGTAAGTTTTGGAGAAAATCGATTTCGTAGAAATCTTCTTTAGAAAAATAATTATTTGAACGTCTTAAATTAGTTTGTAAATATATTAATTGGTTTTTGTAATACTTTGCTTTTATATAAGCTAGGTGACTTGTGTTTTGGTTAATAAAGGAATTAGGAGCAAAAAAGAGACACAAAACTCTGTTTTCCACATTAATTCAAAAGGGAGCTGTTTAACTATACCCCAACAGTTTTTAGGGTTTCCATTTCAAAAGACAAAAGCAACAAGACACCTATCTCTCTGCATTCCATGACCACACCATATATATATTGTATATATGCATTAGATCCCAACAACGAGACCACAGCAGCAAGTAAAGAATCAAGCGTGTGTCCTGGAGAAGCTGAGAACCCGATCACTCCTGCAAAAACAGCAAAGAGAAGAATCAACCTTTATGTTAACAAGAAAACACAGACCTTTGATGAGATGGTTTTGTTATTCAAAGAATATTTTCTTTTACAAACTAAACTGACCTGTTGCTTCTTCTTCTTTGGCCTTCTCTTCCTTTTGGGTTTATGAGCATCAGAATTGGAGCTCAAGTTGCTACTCTGACTGCTATATGTAGTTGCAGCAGTATCCCTGGCATTATATGAAGTTGCAGCAGTGTCCCTGGCATTATATGAAGTTGCAGCAGCAGCCCTGGAATTATATGAAGTTGCAGGAGCAGCCCTGGAATTATATGAGGTTGCAGCAGCAGCCCTGGAATTATATGAGGTTGCAGCAGCAGCCCTGGAATTATATGAAGTTGCGGCAGCAGTCCTGGCATTGTATGAAGACTCACTTCTTCTGTTTGAAGTGTTTCTTGAGGATGATGGCATCTCATTCCTCTGCATAGACGTGTTTTTCCTAGAATTTGAACCAAACCTTGCTTGTGGTGGTGGCATTAAAGCCCTAGCAGAGCTTTGTTTCTACAAAATTCCAAAAAACATTCCAAATTAGAATATCAGAGTTTGTCATAGAAACCATAGCTTTCATAAGAAGTGGTATCACCATTCATGAGTTTCGCTCGTTCTTCCACCATATCCATGAGTTTCAGATTTTAAAATGCTTGATAATATCAAGAAAACTCATCATACCTGGTTTCTTTCATCACTAGACATGCCAGATGTTGCTCTACTAGAAGTAGCTTCCCTGAGGAATTGCATATTATGGTCAGAAATTAGAAGTGTTAAAGATTTAAAGAAAGTATAGTATACTAAAATTACTAGGCCTACTTTGCGCTTTTATCGGTCAATTCATCATCTGCGTCTGCTTCATCGCTTGAGCTCCCTTTGTCAAAGAAATCATCATCACTAAGTTCTAGAAGACCATCATCTTCACTCCCTGTCTCTGTTTTTACACAGCCGTAACATATTTATCAGCTATACCTAATATTTCCAGGAAAAAGTAAACAAATAAGCTTCTCCGCAATCCGCATATCAAGTTTACCTTCTAACTCCTTCCCACTAGCAGCAGCAACAATGATATTGGCTTTGATCTGCTTCCGCATTTTACTTCTTCGCTCAATCACTTCTGAGTCCTCAGCTCCAGTAAATAAAGATACATACTTTTCATTTTTGGGAAAGAACTGCAATTGTACATACAAAACAATTATACATTTTCCCCAACTAAGCTCATTCTAATTCATTACGAAAAGAAACTCAGCAGAGAATAACTATATAGTAAACTTACCCTAACATACTCAAGATCTTCTTTAAGTTTACTGAGTTGCTCAGCTATATCTCCATCTCCAACATGAGCAGATGAAGTGCGTTGTAACTTCTCAAGACGCCTAATGCTCCTTTCAATCTTTCTCCTCTCTAATTCATAGACAAAACTAGTTGTAATTATCTTTCAGGCACATACAAAAGCCGTTAATATTAAATGGCAACACAACTCTTACCAAAGAACTTAATCTTTCTGTTCCTGAGGAATACTTTACGTTCAACAGCGAGACGTGTATGGTCATCTTGCTGCTTCTTCAAATACTCCAACTTCTGTTTCAGAGTCTCTTTCACTTCAGGAGGCAAATCCTACAAAAAATTGATCCACACATCGTATCTATAAGACCAAAAAACCCTGATTTGAGAAAGCCCTTTAAGCAGAGAGAGAGAAAGGAGCTGACTTTACGAAGGAAGCGTTCGACGGAACGCATCTGGTTCTTGAGAGAGACGATCTTAGGTTTCTTCTCAACGCGTAATGGTTTCGATCTCCGGCTGCTACTTCCCGCAGCTTGATTCGGTTCTGAAACCCTTCTCTTGGCATAGCCGCCGTGCGCCATGGCCGCGAGGGTGTACGAGAAAGCTTTGTAAGGAGAAAGGGGAAGAACAACGACAGACACACAAAAAGATTAGGGCTTTGTGTTTTCTTTTACTCTTTTTTGTTCGGTCGGCGTTAACGTCTTTTCTCTAAAACGTTGCGTTGCGGATCCTACATGTCAGTCCTTAATCTATCTATACTATTATTTGCGAAGTGGTTTTTCGCAACTGAGCTCTCACGTTAAAAGTTAGCACGGTTAATATCTATTTTACCCTTAATGAAATTTTTATATATAACTAATTTTATGATTAGAAAAGAAATTTAAAAAATAAAATTAGATGAGTATGTTATTATTTTAGATAATAAAGAATAATTAATATAATAAATTTATACAAAATCAAAAATAAGATAATTCTTATATATGTTATTATTATCTGAATATAATATTGTAACAACATGATAATGTTTGTATATTTTAATTTTATATATAATTGATTTTGAATTTTGACAGTAATATTATTTTATTATAAATATTAACCAAACAAAAACATTTGTATAAAAATACTTTTAATTGTATAATTAAATATTAGGTATTAAAAATTGAAACAGTTCAAGTTAATGTTCCTTTAATGAAATTTATATATTTGTATATAAATTAGTTAAAACGAATTTTATGTCAATGATAGAAAGTTATATGTTATTATATTAGTTAATTTATTATAAATTAATAGGATAGTTATCCACATTCATGCATATTTAAAACATAAGATATCATATAGAATATTATAGAGTTATCTGGAAATATTTTTTTTATTATGAAAAATAAAAATGTATGTTATAAAACAATTTAAAATTAAATATTAAGAAAAATATAAATATATTTTTAAAAATATTTTGTTATGTGAATGTTTCTCAACACTATAATAAGCATATAGATTTTGATAAAAATTCATATAAAAGTATTTTAATGTTTGATTTAGCTTTTTTAAAATTATAAAAAATAATTTATAATATTATTTTAGAATTAATAAAATAAAAAATAAAAAAAATTTGTAAGAAAATTATGCCCGCATATGCGGGCACAACACCTAGTTAAATATTTTTATAAGCTACTAAATTATAATACGCGTGTAAAATAATTAGATTTTATAATTTATCATTCGAAAATTAACTGATTAAACTTTATGTTTATTTGAATAGAAATTGCGTTCTATAAACGGTAAGAAATCTACTTTAACTAAAAGCCGAATATCAGAGCCTATGAATCTGTCCATGTCGGATTTTTAATTCAACCAATAAGAGTTTCTATATCCTCCATGTGAGCTCACTTCTTCTGTGAGAGAAATTCGATTGCACGGCTCTATCTAGACAAAAGCTTTAAACCCTAATCTCCTAAGCCCCAAACGATTTGATTCCTCACCTCATCTTCTTTGTTTCCACTTCTCTCCAACTTGATTATCTCTTTACTCAGATCAGTCTTTACTCGTCTTCCGTTTCGCTTCCTTCTATCTATATTTCTTATAAATTCATCTATCTGTTGATTCCAATCAGAATCAGGAAAAAAAAATTGAAAGCAACGGAGTAACCATAAGTTCTTCACTATTGCCGTGATCTTCGATCTCAGTGATAAAAGTAATTTATTTGAGTGGGGAGACGAGAGAGGGGGAGAGAGCTTTGAGATGAAGAGATCACAGGAGAAATTTGTGAGGAAGATGGAGTGTGACGAGGCAAAATTGGGAGCCAGAACTGCGGGTTATGAGAGTGGTGTGGGGTTTGGAGGAGGGACGGTGGTCCTCGCAAGGGGTTTTGACGGTGGGGATGTTGAGAGATGCGAGAGCTTTGAACTGTTGTGGGCCTAATGGGGAAGAGGAGGTGTGTGGAATGGGAGAGATGGTTGGAGAAGGAGTTGGTAGAGGAAGGAGCGTTGACATTGATTCTCTATGTCGCAAGCTTGATCTCTGATTATGGAATGTTCATTAGATGCTAAGTCTTTTTCTTTCAATCTAAGAATCGAGTTTTTCAATAGTAGATTATATCATGGAACATGAGTCTTTGAGAGAATTACTTTCTCCAAAATTTTATTCAATTCCAAGTGAAAATTACTTCTATATATGAGTGCAGGTTAGTCCCAGTGAATCTACATAACTACAAAACAAAAAAGTTATATAGCTTGATAGTTGGTGTTGTTTGTAAATGTCAAGAGTCATGGGAACATACGGATATTGTGCTCCTGGCTATGCTATGACGGGTCAGTTCACGTTTAGATCCGATATATACAGTTTAGGAGTAGTCCTTCTAGCGCTCATCACTATAATGAAAGCAATTGATAGTACAAAAGAGCGTAAAGATCAAAACATGGTCGGATGGGTATGTTCTTCTGTCTCTTGATATTATCTCTCAATAAATTTTTGGTAGAGATAAAAACACTAATTTTGCGCTTTCTTACAGGCATGACCTTTGTTCAAAGACAAGAGGAACTTCCCAAAAATGGTTGATCCATTGATTCAGGGACAATACATTGTTAGAGGACTGTACCAAGCACTTGCAATTGCAGCAATGTGCGTTCAAGATCAGCCAAACATTAGGCATGTTGTATTAGACGTAGTCTTGGCTCCCAACTTCTTCTAATTATGATCTGAATAGTCCTAGCAGCAGTAGTTGGAGATGAGGAAGAGAAAAGACCATATCTACTCAAGGAAACAAAATCTGAACTATCACCCTAGGAAAGAGAATGGTAAGAAGAATATCAAATCTAGATTTTTTTTGGAAGAAAATGGGTGGATAAATAAATATAAAACCAAATCAATCACATTTTTAACATCTATTTGTAAATGTAAATCTTGACACTGCTTTTATTGTATGTAGCATGGTTCTTTGTTTCTGTAGAACAACAACAAACCATTTTTTTAACAACAAACTAATTTGTTTTGGGACATATATATTATTTTTCTTCAGAATATCTGAAGAAACATATTTGGAACTCTTTGAAAATCAATTCTGAACCCTTTAGATATTATTCTGAGCCTATCAGAAAAATTCTCAATTTCTGAACCATTCAAAAATCAATTCTGAATCCATCAGAAAATACTTCTGAGCCTTTAAAAAATGTTTTTGAACCATTTAGAAAATATTTCTGAACCCTTCATAAAATGATTCTTCTTTTCACAGACACAAACATCTTGATAATTTACTTTTGAAATCCTTCAGAAAAAATATTGTATTTGGTTCAAAAATATTCTGAACCCTTCAGAAAAATATTTTTAAACCGTCAGAAATCAGTTATGAACCCATCAGAAAATGTTTCTGAGCCCTACAGAAAATAATTTCGAAACCTTCAGAAATTGTTATTAGTATATAAATATTGTTACGAGAAAATAAAGAGAGAGATAGGTTCAGAAAAATATTATGAAACCTTCAGAAATCAATTATGAACTCTTTAAAAACCAATTTTAAACCTTTTAAGAAATGTTTCCGAGCCCTTAAAAAATGTTTGAAAGCCCTTCAAAAAATGTTTCTTTGCACTTCACGAAATAATTTCAAACCCTTCATAAATTGTTGTGAGTATAAAAATATTGTTATGAGAAAATAAAGAGAGAGATAGAACATTTCAGAAATCAATTATAAACCCTTGAGAAAGCAATTCTGAACTGTTCAGAAATCAATTATAAACCCTTGAGAAATCAATTCTGAACTCTTCAGAAAATGTTTCTGAACCTTCAGAAAATGTTTATGAGCCCTTCAGAAAATGTTTGTGAGCACCTCATGAAATAATTTCGAACCCTTCAGAAATTATTATGAGTATATAAATATTGTTATGAGGAAATAAAGAGAGAGATGAAATGGGTGGAATCAGTAAGAAATTTCTGAACCCTTCAGAAATCAATTCTGAATCCCTAAGAAAATGTTTTCGAGCTCTTCAGAAAATGTTTATGAGCCCTTCAAAAAACATTTTGAACCTTTCAAAAATCAATTTTGAACCTTTGAGAATATGTTTCTGAGCCATTGAAAAATACTTCTGAACCCTTTAGAAAATGTTTTTGAACCCTAAACTAAACTAAAATAACAAAAACTATCAAATAAATTTAATGATAGTAATCAAACGTAATATTTAAATTCACTAAGGGTACTTTCGTAATTAACCATCATGAGAATTAACGTGTGCGACACGTAGGAAACTCACTTTTCAAATAATATTATAGAGATTTTACCTGAAATACTTGATATTTTACATAAATTACTTTAGATAACCGAGCTGCAACTAAACAAGAACCAAATTTTTCTTGGGTATTCAACTGTTCCTAATCTTACTATCCAAATGGACTCAAACCGAAACTATATGAACGATCTAAACCAAAAATATGTTGGTTCCTATATGGATCATGTAGCCCCTATCCAAACTATATGATACCTAAGATACCCGATCCAAACTGAACCGATCCGTGAATGCCCAAACCCACATGATATAATGAAGAACTAAGATTAAAAAGAGAGTGCTTATTGGAAGCTCAAGCGTGTTGCAAGAAATATATATAAATTTTTATAGTTATAAGAATGTGTTAGTAGCTTAGGGATATACACACACAAAAAAATTATACAAAAGATTTTCTTATTACAATATAACGTTTTTTTCCTGTGGCTGAGATGGCTGATGTAAAGTTTTGTTGAAGATTTAGCATCTAAGAAATGGTTTTGAATCAGTTAGACTTTCTAGTGTTTTTCTTGTTGATATTATTGGATAGGAGATTTACATAATTTTTTTGAAGATGTTTACCAATTTTTTTTTATTTTTTGAAACAAAGGGAATTTACCAATTTTTACTGGTTAAAAATAAATTATGGCGTAGGCAAGCCTCAAAACATTTTAGAAACACTCTTACTTTTTAGTTTTGATAAAACTCTCACACTTTGGTTTCTTCAGAATGATGATGATTTTGTTGTAGTAGAACTAGTCAAGTTGTATGATTAATGATATATTATGAATTTTACCCGTTTTCACCATAGTATATATGCTTTTAGGATCTATTATATGTGTTTGAAGTCTATTATAAAGTTTTTTCAGATCCATGTATGTTTTGGAGTAATGTGAAGATTATAGAGTATCTTGGGGTTTTATGACGAAGAAACTCGTAGCTGCTGAAGAATCAGAATTCATAGTCGATAAATAGGAAGAGTGTTGATCGACAACACTATGTTGTCATCGATCGACAACGAAGCGCGAGACGGGCCGACTTATTGGTGACTGAATAAAAGCCCAAAAGTTCCACATAATTACAAAACTATCCTCAGTCGACTTTATTTCTAGTATTTAAGTGTTTTGCCATTGTTAGGGCAACATCCCCCCACCATACGACTTTTCATAACATATTCCATACTTAGAAGTTTTGGGTTGTATTTGGAGAGAAGATCTAAGGCTCCTTCAGATATTTGTTTTGGAACTCCATTGTTTCTTATTCCTTATTACATTTTATATTTTCAATTTAGCTTATTATTATGCTTTGTTTGATCATGTATGAGTAGTTCTCTTTATTAGATTTAGGGTTAATTAGGGTTATGAAGGATTAGCCAAAACTATAGAATTTCTAAGGTGTTAAAGATATCCATCAATTGAATTGATATTATTCTTGTATTCTAGTGTAGCTAACTAGAACCTTGATTTTAGGATTGTAGACAACTACAACAGTAGGTTCTTTTCCTGAATTGATTCTTTTGAGCTAGGCTTCCAGATACATTTGACAGCTGGTTAGGAAGTTAGTATACCAATGGAATATGATAATAAAACTGATTTAAGGTAGTAGTCGATCGATGCTCAGCTTAAACCACCAATCGACGACTCACTTTGTGTTCATAAGCGAAGGCTGGAACACTAGACTTAGATAATTATTAGACTCACATGCGACAGCTGGATATTTATACAGTAGAGTTCGAGTTCTAGAATATCACACACATGCCTTTAGCTTCTAAATCTCTATAATCATGATTACCTAAAATCCCAGATCTAGCTATATTCTCATATTCTTTACAACCTCAATCAATTAAACTACTTATGTGTTTAGTGCTTAATAATTACTTGACTAACTTAATATAAACATAAGTCTATTGAGTGTCCACGTTCCCTATGGATTTGATCCCTAATATTACAACTGAACTTCTTATTTGAATGAGTAACATTGTTCATGGAGTAATTTGAGTGATATCAATTAACATTAACAAAGGATATGGAGCCATTTTTCAAATTATGTGATATTTGTTCTTTGAAAGTATTTCTTGGGATTAGAAATAACTTGTACTTCTAAAGGTGTTTATATATGTCAGAATAAATATGCCATTGGTTATGGACTATTCTAGTTTGCTTCTTCAAATCTTGCTTTGAGATGTTTTGTGCTGATGTGGATTTGGTTGTTTGTTTTGATATTAGACGGTCTACAAGTTCTTAATTCTCAAAGAACAATCATTTATATCTAGATCATATGTCGAGGTTGAATATTGAAACTTAACTTTCGCTTTTTGTGGAATGATGTGGTTGAGTAATCTTTTGAAAGGCTTGTGAATGGAATCATCAACTCTTTGAGTTTTTCTTTGAATAGTATCGTTGCAATTTACATTTTTATAAATTCTGATTTTATATAAAAAATACACATTAAATTATATTCTTATAATGTTTGGGAGAAGCTGAATTAAGCTCTTCTCAAATCTATACACGTTAGAACACATAACATGTGGTTGATATCATAATTAAACTGTTTCATCTGAATTCGGTGTGTCTGAGGTGAAAGTATGATTTTGATGATGAGTCATTTGAATGATGTTTGTAATTCATCTTCAACAATAAGTCCCCTAGTTCATTGTGAGAGACGAAATCAATCTCGGTGAATTACAAGAACGGGTCCATAAAGTAATTGAACTAGGCACAAGTTGTCTTCCAAATTCCTCTAACTGTAATCTCGGCACTTCCCAAGGTCCTTGTTGGTCAGTGCAAATCATGTATTAAAAACCCAGTTATCTATAATTTTGTATCATATGGATGTTATTCTTCTTTTTTTCGCTTGATCAAGGTGGCATGGATTCAAGTATCTTTCACATTCACCTTTAGGGTTATAAATGAGAAAACTATGGTTTTCCCAGGATGTTCAGAAGGCTGCTTGAGACACAAGGTTTTGAAGTTTTTAAGCATTCAGATTCATATTGGTGATTCAACTATCTTTTGGTGAGATCATTGGTCACCTTTTGGCCCGCTCTATCATTACCTAGTAGGCCCAGACGCTTCTTGCAGGCTTGGTATTCCTCTATTCTACATTGTTACAGACTTGTTTATTGATGGTGGATGGTCCTTGATGTAGCTCATTCAGAAAACAGGTTCTCCTCTACACATGTATTACCACTCTCACTCTGTCATTTGGGTAAATGATCAGTTTATTTTAAGTGTTGATGGTTGTTCTCAGATATGTTTCTCTTTTAAATTGATTTGAAATAGAATTCTTGAGACTTGACAGTAATTTGTTACAAGGGCCTTATCCTTCGTCATGCAATAACGAGCTGGTTATTTATTCTCAACAGAAATCCTACTCTTGGTCGAATGATTTCTTGGGGCTTCGATGTGGGGAACACTTGCTTAAGAGCATGATTATCGCAAGTTCTTAGGAGGATTTTTAGGATAATTAGATTTTTTTTTAATGAAAAAGAGGAATTACTCAAGCAATGTATCAAGAACCGTATCTTGTAGCACCCGTGTCGCGTGGAAGGAGAATTGGAGAAAAATCGTCGGAGTCAGAAAAGTTAGTTGGCGTCGTCGCTCTCCTCACTGGTGGCTCAGATGATGGCTACGAAATTTACAGCACCCAAATTGTTCTTTTTCTCCTTTAGGGTTCTTAAAGCTCTCTCTCTCTCCTCTTCTCAATTTCACAGGAATTTTGTTTTATGCGTTTTCTTCATTCCTGACTCCTGAGGGTAAAATTTGCTCATCTTTTTGTGGGTGTTTCGATTTTTTTTATGCAGATGTACAGAATTTTTACCATGAGTGTGACCTTGGTGAATTATTTCATCATCCTTCTTCGTATGACTTCTCTGGTTGATTTTTCAACAATTTTTTTATTGTTGAAGAAGTTGAGGTGTTGAAATATGCCTTGAATCTGCATCGGTCGATCTAGGAGTCATTGATCGGTCGATCTAGGAGTCATGGATCGGTCGATCTGACTGGACACGTATCGTTCGATACAAGAGCTTGTGTATCGAACGATATTGTGTCAAATCCGATAAAATATGGAAAGTTTTATTAAATGTTTTCTTATACATCTTTAGGGTTTTACCCTATTCTGTAACACAATTTGTACTCTGAAAAACTAGCCTCCACTAATAAAGTACTCATTTTACCCGTGGATCAAACAATGTTAAATCTCTGTGTCTTTCTTTTCTGTTCATCTACTCTGTTAATCTGTATCTTTTCACAACCGTCACAACAAATTGGTATCAGAGCCCAAGGTTTCGTGGTCCTTGGTTTGAGGGGAGGATTGTTAGAATAAAAAAAGGCAATCCAAGTCCCACATCAGATATTAGACAGAATAAAGTCTAATATATATAGCTGGTCTAATCTCACTTAGTATGAGGCCTTTTGGGAGTAACGACCCAAGAACAAATACGTGAGGGCTTAGGTCCAAAGCGAACAATATCATACTAAGCGAGGGATTGGACATCTGGTGACGGACATTTGGCTCTAGTTGAGCGTCTGGCCTCCAGCACGGGCATCCGGTCTGGCTCTAGTAGAGCATATGGTCCAGGAGTGCATCCGGTCCTTCACAACATGAGGTTATATGTGTTCAGTGCAAGAATCGGCTCCTGGTCTTGAATTAGAGATAATATGTGATGTTAAATGCATTTTTTGCTTCATGAGTTCTCTGTTGTTTCTTTTTTTCTTTATTTTTTCTCTTATATGTTAGATTTACAGGTTTTGTTAGGGTTCTAGTTCTTGTCTCCTCTGGCCTTAGTTTTATCTTTCACTGTCTTCGTCTTCAGAGTAGGTTTAATTTCCTGGATACTTAAAGTGTTTGCTACTAAGATGAAGTTAGTGCTCTGTGTGGATTCTCTTGTTATGCAGACAAGAAAAAGTTGTGTGTTTGTGAATTTTGAACAGAAAAACAGAGACTCTAAATGTTTATAAGTTTCTTCATGTTTGCATCGAAGTGAAGTTAGTGTTCTGCGTGGTTTCTCTTCTCTGGGTAATTCTGTTTTTTACCTCTGCAGACAAGGAAAATTTGTGTCTTTATGGATTTCCAAATGAGACATGGGAAGTGAATCTTCCTGCCGGCGAGGTCCCTCCTGAGCTTCCTGAACCAGCATTAGGCATTAACTTCGCAAGGGACGGAATGCTAGAAAAAGACTGGATGTCTTTGGTTGTTGTGCACAGTGACTCATGGCTCATCTATGTTGCCTTCTACTTTGACGCTCGTTTCAGATTTGGAAAGAATGAGAGGTAAGCTTCCTTCTAATCTCAGTGTTCCATGTTCTTAACACATGTCTGTTAAGCAATTTATGGTTGTCTTACCTCTAAGATTAATGAATTTGTTTCAGCAAGAGACTCTTTCAGATGATAAACGATTAGTGTAGTGTTCGTTGTTGGATCATGTCTCTTTTGCTCTTTGAGATAGTTGATATTGCGCCATGTATATGAGTGTTAAGAAACATGACGTTGGTTTTGGTTTGTGTATTACAATCTTGACAAGTTTTAGTTTATGGTGCACTGTTATATCATGTGTCTTCTGATAGTAATTTTCTTATTCAAGAGGTTATTCATTGATCCAACTACAATTTCTTTTTTTTTTTAAGAACCCTTAAATAAGAAACTAGCATTGGAATGAAAAATTAATGTGTTTCTTAAGCAGAGTTTTTAATTACAATAAATTACTATAATTACTAGAATATTTATTAAGAAACTTTAATGGGTTTGTGGGTTAATGGTGTTCTTACCATGTGGTTTACAGAAGGAATCTAGAGATCAACCTATCTATTCTATAAAACTAATGTATAAAACATTACTTTTTTAAAATTTTAAGAGTTTTTTATAATTTTTATTATCTTTTTCTAACGCATTATAATCATTTCATTTAGTTTCTTTCTAAATAATTCACATCATTTATTATAGAACTAGATGATAACCCGCGCCATGCGCGGAGTGAGCTTTTAAAAAATATGTTGCATTTAAATACATATTTTACTATCAATAAATTTTTTACATTTGATTAAGGATGGGCATTTGGGTACTATTTTTGTTCGGTTAGATCCTGTTTAGTTTAGATCTTTGCGGTTTGGTTCGAATCTTTGCAGGTTCGGATAACCCATTTAATTTCTTTTTAAAAGATTAAAATTCATATATACTTTAAACTTTTCAAAATTTAAAAGTAAAAATAATATATAACATATAAATTTGAAAATGAATGCCAAAATACTTAAACTTAACATAAAATTGGTTTATCTTAAATATCTGGAAAAAAACTCGATAAGTATTTCAAATATTTTTGGTATTTGGAGTGTCGTTTAACTATTTTAAAAATGTACATTTAACTATTTTATATATTTCTAAGTATTTTGGAAATTTTTAAAATATCTCATGTATTTTGTATATTCTTAAATGTTAAATTTAAAAATAATTAATATATTTAAGTATATAAATATGGTTCGAGTACACTCGGATACCCGAAATACTTCGATTCAGTTTTGGTTCTTTAGATACCAAAATTTCGAATCCGTTTGGACATCTAACAAATTTTGGTTAAAATTGTTTACTACTTTCTGGATTAGATTTGGTTCGGTTATCTGGATTTATTTTTTTGCCCAACCATATAGTTTTTATTGTAACAAAAATTTAAACGAAAGGGTTGATGGTTCATATAGATTTTGGGTATGCAATAGTTTTTAAACAAAACACGCTCTATTATGCGCGATCCATTTAGTTAATCATTATGAACTGTTTAAGACTCATTAGAAAAAAGATTGGCTGAACTAAAAAACGTTAACATTGATCATAAAATTTTCAATGTGAGATTGTTAGAATTTTTAGTAATTTATGATTGTTTTACAAATTTTAAAATATAACATATAAGAAAAAATCTATTTTTTATTATATGATTAATGTGATTGTTTAATTTCTTTTAATAATATAAAATTAAATAACAAGTAAAGACGATAAAAAATTGTTATCAAATATTTATTATTCATAAACATTAATTGTGATATATATGTTAATCATATTAGGTAATTCAGTAAATTTTATTTAAGAAAATAATAAATAGCATTAATAATAGTTTTATGTTTAATTTAATAAAAAATATTATATGTTTATATGGATCAACATTTTTCTCTAGTAAATTTGAGAAGCATTCTCAGGATGACACGTGACTACCATAATATGTTGTAGTGGTTCTCAATTAATATATAGGGGGTTATAAAACATAAATTACCAATTTTAAAGTGTTTTATTACATTTTCTTACATTTTGTTCACTTTTACTAACTAATTTATTAACTATTTTTACCATAATAATTTGACACCATCTATTTTACATCTTATCCATATTAATTTGATAGGTTTAAATGAATTTGCTTGTGACAACAATTCAAAATAGTTAACAAATAGTTTTTATTTGATTACAAAATCAATTAGGCATGGACATCTGGGGTACCTATTCATGTATGGATCATTTCTTTCAGGTATCATTTTTTGTTTTAAAATTAGGTCCACTTAAGTATTATAATTTTTTGGATAGGTTTCGATTCGAGTCCTTCCGGATATGTATGACTTCGGTTCTGATGTATATAAACATAAAAATATTCAGTAACCAATGTATCTGCAATGAAGTTTAGATATTTGTACTGAAATAACTATATTATCTTATTCGGTTCAAATCTTTTGAATATAATTAGTTATATGGTGACTTATGTAAAATATATATACTAACCACAAAATAAATATCAATGTATAAAAACGTAAAAAAATAATATCCACATGGGTGCGGATCAAATTTTAGTTGTTCTTCAAATTTAAATGTGTGTGTTCATACCACATTTGGGAACTCATAATGGTTAAGCTGCCGTTATAGATCCGCCTTCTCGCTGGCTCATTGTCATTGTCATTGTCATTGTCATGTGATCACAAAAATAACATTTTTGCAAGGGTGGCAGGAGACAATTTATGCTGTTTGGAAAAAGATTGGCAAGTACTCTCTACTTCCGGTTGAAATGCTTTCCTATGGGTCTTCTAGGTCAAGCAACTGGTCCTATTCTTCTAACTCGTTGGTCTTCACCCGACTAATGTTTGAAGCTTTGTAATAGTCCATTTTATCAGATTCTTATCAGCATTTGATCCTTCTTCCTCCTTCTGTATTTCTCTTTTTTCTTTTTTTTTTGGTTGTTGTTACCTTATTGTTATTTATTATTAATGCAAAAATCATTTCAAAGAAAATATAACCGTTCTACTTGAAACTTATTATACTCAATATAACGGCCCAGCTTTATTAACACTATGTATCGTGGGTCGTTGGTCCTAGTTTAAATGAAGATCACTCTATTATGCATGTTGACAGCAGATCATTATTGTTTGACTAATCAAACAAATAAGCATGGGCGCAAACTGGGTACTTAAAATTTTGAGTGAATCGGGTAGAAATCCATAAGAAAATGGAAAATTAGGGATTTGCCATTTTTGGTGGGGAAAATAGTAATGTGTGGGGAGGAGAGATAAAGGAAGAAATAGGGTATGGAGTGAATTATGAGGTTTAGTATGTGTATGGAGTGCAAATACTCTAAAATTTCCCCCTACCCACTACTTGACTTACCTTATGTAAATATTGGATTTTTTACTTGTGTTTATACTTAATTCGATCAAGTACTTAACTTATCAAGTACTTGCCTATATTCTAATTACTTGCAAATTACTGGTAATATTTGATACTTATTTATTTACGATTAAAAATTTGAAAATAAATATAGAAAACATATAAGTTTTGGTTATTGTGGAATATATATGTTTTATCATATATCTGTTGTTTTGCTTAGTTTGTTTAAGTTATTTGATTTAGTATGTGTAAATAAATCTACTTAAAAAAGTTATTTGGATCCTTTCATTAGACTAACATTTTTGGTTCCATTATATTTCTCTGACTATATAAATACTTTACAATTTAAATAAACTCATTTATTACTTTCCATAATATATTATAAAATTTCTCTAACAATAAATATTCATGATACTATAACTATGACACTTTGGTTTAATTAATTATATGCAATCAATTATTAAATTTTGATATTACATTCTTATACAAGAGCTAAATGATTAATTTTATAATATATAAAAATTAAATGTGTCTAAACATTATAAGTTGGAGATGCAAACGAATTTGGTCGAAAATTGATTTAAATAAGATATGTTTATTTATTTTACATGATATATTTTTATTTAATTTTAAATGTAAACTAGCCTACGATATAAATATCAGATAGGTTGATATTTTTAATAAAAATATTCAGGTAATTCACTGATTTTTCTAATTTGGTTTAAAATAGTATTTTAGGTTATTTAGTATTTCGATATTATATATAATTAATATTTGTAAGTATATAATTTATATATAAAAATTTAAGTACCCATTTGGTTCTTGGTTCAATTTCTATTTTTAGATTTTAGATATATATGATATGATCGATTATTTATGAAATTTGGCTTAATTTAACTCCGTTTAAATTTTTTTTTAAAAAATTAAAAAATTAAGTACCCTTTTGTGCATAATCGAAAAATAGAAACCACGCTTCTCAATGGGTTAATAACAATATTTTGATTTTATAATATTTTTACCATATTCGTTTTATTAATTTTTACAAAACTGAAATAAAATAAAATAATATAACAAATTTGAAATATTATGGATATCTAATAATAGACATAAATTCATTATTTGACTTTTATGTCAATAAAAATATATGAAGTGCGGATCAAAATCTAAATCACTCCATATACAAGTTAATTTATTACGGTCAACTATTTAATTTACTTTAATTATATCAACCAAAAAATTTGAACTGCACCTACTTATATTTTCTACCATGATTTGGAAAACCTAAATTGATTACAAAATATTCTTTCATATCTTCTCTTAACTTATCTCTTAACCTAAATTGATAACAACCTTTTCATTTTATAAATACAAGCTCCCATTTACCATCAACTCAATCAAATTCAAAAACATCATCAAAATCCATCAAAATATCTATTCCGAAATATTTGGCTTTACGGTCAAAAAAAAAATATCTGCGCTTCTTAAGCACGGGTCAAAATCTAATTTAAATTTTATTACAATAACAGTAGTAAAACAGGTATATTAAGGGATAGTACATATTTTTAGAATCAATATTAAATAATAAAACATGTAATAAACCGAGTATTAAGAAAATTGTGATACTTGATTTGTACTTACAAATAATAAAATTTGCATACTTGTTGCTTGCCTTAAAAATGCTAAATGCTTAATTTTCCAAGTCGAGTACGAATCAAGTAGCAAGTATTCACGAATAACAAGTAGTGCCTAGGCCTACAACCAAACGTTAATCA